GTGTGTGTGTGTGTGTGTGTGTGTGTGTGTGTGTGTGTGTGTGTGTGTGTGTGTGTGCGCGTGTGTGCGTGCGTGTGACGTGTGCGCGCCCCCACGAGTGTGTATTAGCTACTGTGCTTGTGTGTACATTTGAGGAAACAGCCCTGGAAAAAAGTCGCCCTGGAAAGTGGAAAAAGAGCCCTGGAAAATGAAAAAGTAGCCCCCGAAATTTTGGGGGGGTTTGCAAAAAGAGCCCCGGAAAGAAAAAAATTAATTTTTTCACTGCGTCTTATACTATATATAATATATTGCAGATGGCGTCAGGCAAGGCCCCACTATCTCCAAATGGAGACGATGCAGACGTGTGTCTATTTGGTAGTGATGAGAATATCCCGATGAACATTGACCAGCCTTTACGGCGTCACCTGGCAAGCGAATTTACAACCGTGGTTAAACCATCGGAGGAGGAAGTTGATGCACTAGATTCGACTTCTGCAAATTTGCAACCGGGTCAAGAGCACATGAAAGTATTTCTGCGTATAAGACCCTTCACGGAAAATGAATTGAGACAAAAGGAGTCGCAGGTATGGAGGCATGAGTTGAGATCGATAGAACTATTTTCATTAAAATAAATCGCGATTCTTGACACTTTCAATTTCATGCACTGGATTGTTTTCGATGGTAACTGAAAATGATTGTCATTGTAATGCATATGTTTTTATGAAAAATAGGGAGTATTGATCTTATATATATGTGCATGATGTACAAATATTTTGCTAAATTTCTACCATAAATCGTCTAAATACGTCCCTGCCATGTGGTTTTATTACATAGCTGATGGCTATATTGCTTTCAATTTGCAGAACATATTAAAGGTTGACAATTCAAACGTCCTATCAGTGAATGCTCCTAAGGACTCAGTGACATATAAGAACTACCAACATGGAGGCGGCAGAATGACCTACAAGTTCACCTTCTCCAAAATATTCGGACCAGAATGTTCGCAGAAGACACTTTTTGACGAGGCGATGGGAGGCATAGTGAAAGATACCGTAGATGGACAGAATTGTCTGCTGTTCACATATGGTGTAACCAATGCTGGGAAAACCTACACCATACAAGGTAAATTAAGAAATCTTCCCCCAGAGGCTAGTTACCTCTCCAGGAGGTAGATAAGGTGTTTCCCCTGCATTAATTTGACACGAATGAGGCGGGCTGCCTTGCTCATTAAATTCTCAGCCGCCACACAGAAATTTGTCCAAAACACCGCCTCGCTGACGAAAATCACGGTTCTTCGGACTTCTTCCATATAACAATGCTTATATAATGCACCAAATTGCATAATTTGTTCAAAATTTTTTTCACCAGCACGTACGGTGCTCGCTTTGCTAGTACCTCGAAACGTGCAAACAGCAAAAAAAACACTGAGATATGTGAAAGAAATATAGATAACCCTAACACTAATTCCATACTAGTTCATGTTTACTGTAATTTTCATGAACAATAACTAGGTAACTTCAAATAATACAATTTAATCACAACATATATGTAATTACATTTAAAAACTCTTAGTGTACACTTCTATAGAATCACCACCTATCTATAAATAGCACTTGATGTTTTCCCAAGAATGCCAATTATGCAGTGAAACCACAGATCGAATGGACACCTGCCTGGAAAGGATACTCCCCTTGAGCAATTTCTATTTGCAAGTTTGTATGTGTGGTATGTGTCACAGTGCACATTATAGAATCATTAGGATGAGATATGTTGGCTTTTCTTTCAGGCAATCAGAGTGATGAGGGTATCCTCCCTAGGTCACTGGATGTCATCTTCAATAGCGTCGTGGACAAGCAATACGAGTCCATGAATCTGAAGCCGAGATGTTTCCAGGATGTCGTTAGACTCAGTGAAGAACAGGAAGCGAGTGAGGCAGCGTTTAAAAGAGGAATCCTGCGAATGGCAAACAACGATGTAAGAGCACACCACTGATAGAAACCGTAATGTACAGAACAGAGGAGCGCAATAAAGCAGTGTTGTAATGTTGCAATAACACAACAGCAATAGCCAATAACCCCGTCTAATGTGGTCACGCCATCGCATCTAATCTCACTTGTGTTTGTCAGGAGCCGGAGAGTTCGGTGCTGATAGCCACATCGACACTAGGAGGCAGTCAGATGACTCTGAACAGTACCAGTGACCTATCGTCTACCAGTGCTGCCAGTCAGATGCTGGATGTGACAAAGAGCAGTGGTAGGCTAGCATCTTCTCCTGCTTCCCCAGAAATATAATTTTATATCACGCAACAACAAAGTGCATTTGTAGGAGGGTCAAAATTTGCATGACCATAGTAGCGGCATGCATGATAGATGTTGCGGGAACCAGAAGGGTGCAAGAGAGTAGCTCTAAGTGATTGCAATAAGGTGGTGCACTATCGCTCGAGGTTGCATTGTAAAATGCAGAGAAACACTGCAGCATCTAGATTGTTTATTTAATTTGTATTGGTGTGAAGAATTATCATTGTTGACAGGAAGAGGATTATATAGCCATAATTCTATAGCTTATACTGTTATAAAACAGGCAGTAGCTAGGTATATGGAAACATTTCTAACATACATTTATGTCAGAAAGTACAGGCTCCATGCAGTCAATTCTTGTGCGTACCACAACATTTCCATTAATTTCCCAATTATAATTGTTTAGTTAAAATCTTCATTGTCATAACTTGTAAATATCTAAAAGCTTTTTTTGTTTCATTACACCAAACAAAAAATGCAAAATGCATCTGTGACTGTGTTGTCATCCTGTTTTTGTAGTCGTGTATAATATATATATGCTTACGATAAGAAATTTCTGTGTAGATGTGACGCAGCTGCTAGGTGAGGTTGATAGTGTTCTTGAAGAGGCCAGAGTGAGCGTGGAGACACAGGGACAGATCCGATTCTCCATCTGGGTTTCCTACACCGAGATATACAATGAACTTGTGTACGACCTCCTCGCTCCAATGGCAACCGGCATGGACAGGAAGAGACCTTCACTCAAGCTGGCGGAGGACAAGTCTGGCAATGTTTACGTGAAAGGTAAGATATGCCTCAAGTTTGGAAACATGAGAATGGTGAGATATGGTCCATCCATTGCAGTCTGCTTTCACTCCTATTAACGTTGGTTTATCATATTAAATCACTAACTTGACTCATTCATTTTACCCAGTATCACTATGTACATCTTTCTATCCATTTGTACTCTTCTCGCCGTGATCACATTTTGATGAACTTATAAATGATTAATCTCATTAATATTGTTTATTTAAGTTGATGCATGTAGTTTCTTTAATAAGGCATCCATAGTGTTTTATAAAAAGTATGTGTAAATTCTTAATTTTAAATCTAAAGGTAGTTTTTTCAGTTTAGCATAGTATCATTTGTTCGTTACAGGCCTAAAAGAAGTCAAAGTTAATAGTGCAGATGAAGCCTACAAAGTCCTGTGTATAGGGAAAAAGAACCTTCAAGTGGCAACAACGAAGCTGAACCATAGTTCCAGTCGAAGGTACGACATGCCACTGGTGTTGATAATTTCTACAGTGTGCCTGTGGTGTGTGTGTATGCGTTTATGTAGTATAGCCGTATGTCATTCCTAATTATCTATCTATCTATCTATCTATATTATTATAATATGTTACAGGGTGCGAAATTAACGCGAGTCCGGAGTCAAATACTCCCTGATTTACTGTCAGACTCCCTGATTTCACATATGCAGGCGTCCGTGTGACTCCCTGAAAATTCTGTTATACTAACTGGTAGTAGTTCGTTCCAGAGCACGGTACCGTATTTTTTCAGCAAATGTCCAAAGAAATTTTGGCAGACGTACATTGCATGAATCGCGAATCTTCAAAATAAGCACATGCATTATTGTTGTTATGCTTTAGTTTTGAACTTCAGACTGTGGACTCCCTCATTTTGCTATGGACTCCCTCTTTTTGAGCGCAGGGAGTCCAGTCCCTCGTTCAAAAGTTCATTTCTACCCCTGATGTTAACTATGTATAGTTATATGTATTACATTTTTTCAGTCACTGCATTTTCACAGTGAAGATTCTGCGAGTTGTAGATAAGGATAGACCACATGTCTGCAGAGTCAGCAAGTAAGTGGAAATCACAAGCTAAGCTTGTCACTGCTACACTTGTCTATATATAACAGTATGTATTGACAGTATTGTTCTTTCTTTTCATATTCGTTCAAACCGGTGATAGTTTGGTCACCTCTATTTAACGTGTTTAACTGACATTTGTTTATAAAGGGAACTGGACGTTTTGATCTGGAGTGGCAGTTAAGAAGTGAAACCACATTTGCATGGACACCTATCTATAGAGGACACTTTAGCATTGGTCTTCAGTGGCTCGGGCTTGACTGTATAATCTCAGACGTGAATACATGTTTTCTGTCAATCGTCAGCTCACGTGTGTGACTATGATTTCGTTTCCTCAGGCTGTCCTTTTGCGATCTCGCTGGTTCAGAACGATACTCAAAGACACAGAACACAGGTCAGAGATTAAAGGAGGCTACTAATATCAACACATCACTGCTAACTCTCGGTCGATGCATCCACTCACTGCGATTCAACCAGCTACACAAGTACGTACATACGAAATGCACAGAAAATCTATTTTCTTTTGCCAACCTTGGATCTTTGTCAATTAAAAAATCTGTAGTTAATGGTGAAGGCATTTTTGATCTTTTGGTTGTGAGCGAATATAGTATTGGTTTCCTAGCTGATGTGTGTCTGTGTGTGTGTGTGTGTGCGTGCGTGCGTGCGTGCGTGCGTGCGAGTGAGTGTATGCATGTGTGTGTGGGTGTGTGTGTGTCTGTTTTCCAGTGCTTGTGGGTAAGTGTCTGGCAATGTATGTGAGTGTGTGTGTCTGTCAGTGCATGTAAGTGTGTGTGTGTCTGTAAATGTATACGGGTTTGTGTGCCTGTCAGTGTGTGTGGATGTCACGTACGTGTGTGTGCGTATGTGAATGTGTGGCTGGTGTGTTTTTGTTCATGCACACGAGTGTGTATACATGCTCACACATCGCATTTTGTTCAGTTCGAATGCAAATCTTATCTACGGTCGTCATCTTCCGTGTTGCAGAGATCATCCAAACATGGTTCCGTACAGAGACAGCAAGCTGACTAAGCTGTTACAGAGCTTCTTCAGTGGTAAGGGCAAGGCTTCGATGATCGTCAACGTCAGTCCGTGCGCCAGCTACTTTGATGAGACGTTACACGGCCTGAAATTCTCTGCCATTGCCAAGCAGGTGAACTCCTATTCCAGTATTCTTTTTTGTTTTTTAAAAGAAAAAACTACAATTTTTGTCTATGAATGTTTCTCGTGTGGTTAAAATGAGACCAACAGGTGAAATTTACTACGAACAGATCCTTCTCCTCGACGTTTACCATCTGTGTTCTACCGCCCTCTCTCGCAGGTCACAGTGCAGCAGGTAAAGGAACCAGAGATGAAACCTCCGAAGAGGCCGTATCGTCATCGTTCTAGCAAGCCGGCGAAGATATCACTGATGCTTAAGGCAGCGCCGCCGCCGCGCACGCGTGAGACCCTCGCCTGGGAGGAAGCGCCCGCTGCCAAGCGCAGGCTGCAGGAAGCTGCGAAAATACCGCTGCCCGAGGATGACGACGATGACCTGGATGAGGAGGAGGAGGAGGAGGAAGAGGATAACGATGAGGAGAATGAGGTACGACATCTCCAACTCTCCTTCAGTTTCTCTCGCTGTGTCTGTCTGTCTGTCTGTCTCTCTCTTTCTCTTTCTCTCTCTCTCTCTCTCTCTCTCTCTCTCTCTCTCTCTCTCTTCCTCCATTCTTCCCTTCATCCCTAAATTCGTGAGAATAATTGATATCATAGTGTCTCAATCTCGCTTGCGGGATACCGTCTATACAGCACATATAATCACCGTGAAGTTAACAATATTCTCAGATAACCTTCACGTAATTTTCTCACATAAATCTTCATAATAAATCTTCATATCTCACATGAATTTTCTCTGCATAAATCACGGCAGCAATACTAATTGAGACTCGCGACGCGCGCGCTTGCAGGAGCTCAGGGAGCTGGTGGCGCAGCTGACGCAGCAGCTGAAGGAGGAGAAAAAGAAGCTGCTGCTGACGGAGACGCGCATTCGCGAGGAGGTGTCGAGCGAGTTTGCCGCGCAGCTCATCGACATCGAGAACCAGCGCGCGGAGGACATGCGCGAGGAGCGCCACGCAGCTGACGAGTATGCAGAGAAGAGGTGCGTGCTGTAGGTGTACGTGTGTGCGTGCGTGCTGTAGGTGCACGTGTGTGCGTGCGTGCTGTAGGTGCACGTGTGTGCGTGCGTGCTGTAGGTGCACGTGTGTGCGTGCGTGCTGTAGGTGCACGTGTGTGCGTGCGTGCGTGTTGCAGGTGTGCATGTGTGTGTACGTGTGTGCATGCGTGCGTGTATGCTGTGCGAGTGTACGTGTGTATGTGATGCGAGCGTGCGTGTGTGCGTGCTGCAGGCGTGGGTGCACGTATACACTCTACGCATATTTTCAACTGCATATTGGAAATTGTGCATTGTATGCGTGACACCAGTGAAATACATGCTGTGCTACTCGCTGAAAATATATAATCAATTGTATTAACTGGAGAAAAATTTCCGTGGATTGTCGTCAGCTTAAATTTATGTATCGCCAGACTGGAGTTGTTCTCGCAGTCTGTGAAGAAATCCCGAAAGCGAATGAGGATCAGGGACGATGATGATGATGACACAGCACTAGGAGCGCAGCTTCAGCTTGCGAACGCTAAAGCTCAGGTATAGACATCTCAGCGGGGCCATTCCCCAACCTTGCGTCATACAGCATCACCGTGGCACCGTAACGACACAGCCGATCGGCTATATAAGTGCTTCTTAAACTGGTGAATGGTTCACCCAAGGGTGAATGAATGAAACTTACCAAAAACATAAGTTAATTTAGTCGTGGGTGAATGAAATTTTGTGATAAAGACTCGATGGTGAATGGCACTGAGATACTTTAAGAAGCACTGGGCTATATCATTGCCGTAACTACCACGCATTAAACAACCGTATTTAACAGATGTTTTAGCGGACAGCCGTCAGGAATTTGTCTCAACCTTTGAACAAGTTCTGATAGACTATAGTGCACGTTGATTCATGCATTTTGCATATGTTGGGCACAGGAGCAGGACAGAGCGTTGGACGAGCTGCGTGAGCAGCTGAGGGAGGCATCTTCAGACATAGGCAAGCTGAAGGGGGCGCTGAAGGCATCCGCCTGCGAACGCGCAAAGACCATCGAGGAAAACTCCAAGCTCCAGTTCCGTTTGTCGGATGCAAACACCACCATCGGGCTTCTGCAGGAGAAAGAGCAAATGTATGCAAACTCAGCGATATATGTGTATGATAGATGTGAAATTGTTGTATGTATGTGCGCAATACGTGTACACGCACTAATATGTGGTCAATAAAGGTGTGAAGTTTGTGTTGATGCGAGATGTCTGTTCATAATAAGCATAAAATTACTGAATATGTTCATTATATGTGTGAAATCGGTGATATGTTTACAATTGGTATACAATTAAGGATACTACATTCATCAAATTAAGTGTGAAATTTCATGTATTTGTTCATTATTTGTTTGAAAGTGCTGATATACGTACCGCGGGTTTAAATTGGTGTATAGATATGGGTATAAAATTACCGATACACGTTTCTTGTAGGCGTTAACTTGCTGTTAGCACCTAATAAGTCGCTCGCGTGTCGCTTGGCTGTGACCGGTGGGATATAGTTCTGTGTTATGGTTTCCTTCACCAGGCTTGAGGTAGCTGAGGCAACAGTGTGTGACCTGCAACAGCAGCTGATAGAGACGTCACAGCTAGTCACGGCAAACGCTAGCGCTAGCAACGAGGTGGTAAGTCGGACGATTGGCTCATTTGTTTGAAAAAATACATCACTGGCGCACCTGATAGGTCAAGAGCTCATTATTATATACCTTAGTAGATATAGATAGTAATTAAACTATATTATACCGTAATTATGAGTTCTTGATGAGACATTATTGGTATGTTATTTAACATACATGTATAATTCGGCAACTGACGTTTATAATTCTATAAGATTCAGTAGTAAATGAGTCGCGCTCAATCTGACCTGTTTTCATCGCGTGCGTCAATTTAATTTTAAGCCACAGGTATCAGTACTAATTATCTGTTGAATTCTGTATTACGATGTTATTACATCCCACCAAAAGCCCATAATACATAGTAAAATGGTATGATGTGCTCTTGATCTAATTATTTAGAAAATACTTGTGGAGAAATATCACTTGTCGTTTTTGTTATATGTCAGTGCAAGCCGCAAGAGAAGGACAGCTTGAATTCATCTTCTGACTCCTTCCTGCACTCAGAGATTGTCAATCAGCTACAGAAGCAGCTGGAGGAAGCCAGGGACAATGTAGAGCGTCAGGTATTCATGCTGCTAAATACTGATGAATGGCTTAATGACATTCCCATGTCATGGAGATGACCCTAATTTCAGAGCAAATGCATACATAAGAGACACAGTGGCGCACCGCCGTTGTCAAATTTAACATCGCCGTTGTGAAAACGTTTTTTTCCAAAACTGGCCATTACCTCATCTGTCTAATTTTCCCTCAGAAGAAACCCTGTACCTGTATACTGCTGCCCTGGTTCCCCCCGTGGTAAATATTAATATAAAACCTAACAGTAACAAGTAACTGGAGTCTGATGTTTCTATCTTAGACGGTTCTTTTTTCCTACGTGAAGCAAATCCAGTAATCTGAGGGGGTGATCGGGTTATCGGATTTGTTATTCTATATAATTATTTATATTGTAGACATTATTAGATTATAACATGTGCTAAGACCACCTCAAGCAAATCTGTATGAATTTCTCAACCAACTGTTTACATATTCAAAGAGTGCCTTATATCACTATGTGAATCAGTCACTGCATGTAGCTCAATAATACAATCATTATTATCATAATATGCAAACTGAAAAGTAAAATCCTGCACTACTATCCTGTCTAATTGACTTGTCTGGTGCTGCCCCTTTAGGTAATAATAATAATAAACAACACAAATATATTATATATAAACGTGTTTTTAACAAAAACAAATATATTCTTTCAGTCTCCAGACTTGCATAAGCAAAGAGCAATTAAATTAATTAATTAATAGCATTGATATTGGCAGATAATGAATATGTATGCTTCTCATAATCCCACCTGTAGGAAGCAGAGATAAAGGAGCTTAATGAGATGCTAGAGGAAGCTGGTGAAACCTTTGAACAGAAGGAAGAAGAGATCGGGAAACTTAAAGCTGCCCTCAGTGAGCCAGATGAAAATGTAAGATGTGGACACATGGTGGTACATGACATCCCTCGTACGACTCCTCACGATAATTGCTTGCCTGAACCAATCACGACAGCAACTACTAGTAAAAGTTTCAGCATTTGCTATCTTGGTTAAAAATAATTTACTGCACCATTCTCTGCCATTGGTGATTTGACAAGTGCATTCAAACTAGCGATTGTATTCAGTTGTAATTTCGTCTTTGATCATATGTTGCACATTCATCCAATTGTCGATCAATTGTAATCGAATAATTATATCGGGTATTAAGATAGTGTGTATGTCATTTAACGTGTAAAAGCTATAATGAGACAAATGTTTGAAAGAATTGTTTCATAATATGTTATATCATATATTGCTGAACATATTTCTAATTTTGAATGACTACATATTATGCTCCATTGTTCCTAAATATCTTCTTTTGTGTCAAATTTCTGATATATTTGTTCCCACAATCAACTAACTAATCGGTTGCTTCAAATGAGTGAATTATAGACTATAATCGATCCTCGAGCTTTGCCACTGACGCGTCACTCGGCGTGTTATCGTTTACCGGTGATGTACGTGACGTGTGCATGGTTGCCTTACAGGAGCAGGCGTTGGCAGAATTGGCTCAGCTGTCGGAGGAGAGCAAGCTCGCGTTGCAGGAAGCCAAGGAGATGCTCGGCAGTCGAAACAACTACATCCGCGAGCTGGAGGCCCAGCTACGCAGGCTGCAAGGTAGCGCCCTCTATCCCCGCCTGTCTCAGCGTTCTCCCACAGGTGGCGCCGGCGAAGAAGTCAGCAGGGCGGTGCCGCGGATAACGATCACCGGCTGCACGGATGAGGACGGGGAATCTTCCGGGGGTGCGAGTGATAATCCGCATCTACTGTCACCTCCCAGAATGATTGATGTGTCGCCGAACTGTGGTCGCGTGGACGCAGGCCGCGATGACGATGGCGGCTCATCTCGGTTGCTTAGTAACTCCGCGTGTGAGACAGGTCCCACTAGCAGCTGGTCAAGCAGCAGTACTAGCGGTAATACTTACGTAATGAACGCGGACCCGGGTCTGAGCAGCGACTCCGGGAGGTCGCCGCGGGATGCCTCCGCGCGCTCCCCTACCCGAGAGGAGAGCGACCTGTTATTCGAGAATAGCATTGTCAGAGAGGTGAGTAGAATGAGCGAGGGAGGTCTGGCCGCGCGCGCCCCGAGCTCTTCCGACGGTGAGCGGACGGCGTGGACGAGCGTCCCTGTGTTCAGGATCGGACGCATCACCAAGGCGAGCTGCGCGGCGGCGGAGAGGCAGGAGCGAGACGCGAGGAAGGCTTGCCACGACGACGGCCGCCCGAGCGCAGCTTCCGCCGCGGAATGTGCGGCGCCGATAGGGGGCGCCGCGAACGATGCGCATCGCTCGGGCGAGGAGAGTCATGCGGGTGGCGAAGCGAGGCGGGTGAACGCGATGGAGGGAGCAGAGTTTACGTTCCGCATGTCGTACGAATCAGCAGCCAGCTCTGCGATCTTGCTGCAGCCACTCAGTGCCACCTCCCCCGTAGACGACGATGCGAGTAAGGCGAATCGGAGTCCGCCCACAGTGCCTGCCCGCAGCAGAAGAGCTAGAGACTATAAGAACGTGGATGACGGTCAAGCGGCCATGGCCGTGGCTGAAGGCAATACGCTGCGAGTGCGGGGCAACTCTAGCAAGACTAACGAAAATGTTTCGCCGGGGAACGATGGTGTCGCTCAACGGGGCACGCGCAGCGGCCAACGAGAAAGAGCGTTAACATTGAGGCCCGCCATTAGAGAGGTAGGCAGTTGCCAGGCTGGTGCAGTGGAAGAGGTGGGTGAACAGTGGCAAGGGAAAGCAGTACTAGCTCAGCAAGAGCAGCAAGGGGTAGAGGTTCTCTCCGCAGATATTACAAGTCGTCCAGCCAGTCACAGAAGGCTGCGCAATAATAGGAAGCGTATGCTCAGCAGCAGCAGCAACGCGCCGGCGGATGCGGAGAAGGGCGAGAGCGGGCCGGCGGATGCGGGGAAGGTTGAGAGTGGGCCGGCGGATGCTGGGAAGGTTGAGAGCGGGTCGGCGGATGCTGAGAAGGTTGAGAGCGGGCCGGCCCGTCGCACGAGACGCCTGCGCAGCAACCGCAAACGCAAGCCGATCCCTGAGAATCAGGCGGCGCCGATCCACGCCGGGGTTACCAAAGACGCGCGCGCACACTCACCAAAGAAGCAGGGCGAACGGGGGCAGCCGAGGCGGCGGGTGCTTGCTGAGGCTTTCCACGCCTCTAGTCTGCAGTCCAGCGCCGACGCGGCAGGAGGCAAGGTCAACGTGCTGGCGGGGGCCGAGCGGGACGGTTGCCGCGGCAACAACGTGGTCAAGGGCCGCGCCCAGGGAGGCAGCGCCGTGGTCGCGTCACCTCTGCCCTGCATGGACGCGACGCTGGAGACGTCGCCACGGAAACCGCTCACGGCGAAGCACACCAAGACCAGCTGGCTGCGCATGAAGTTGTCCAACTCTTCCAGCGCTGCCCGCGGCGGTGGCGGTCCCAAGTCACCCGTACCGGCTATGGGCGTGTCCCCGCTGGCAAAGTCAGTGGCTGGCCATCCCTCTAGTCTATCTCAAATTTCTCCAAAGCCCCGATCTGCTAAGAAGAGGAAGGTGGTAGTCGCAAACGTGAAGGTTATGGCTGCAAGGAAGCGGTCGAGTTTGGTGATTAAGCGCATTACTCGGTCGCGCGCTAAGAAGATGTAAAATGTAGTAATTAGCAGGATGATACGGCAAAATCCAAAGCTTGTGCGTTATGGTATGGTAATGATGCACAATATACAATATATGTGATGAGTGTACATGTGTCTGTGTGTGAAAATAGTGGCATATATGACATTGGCACAGAGAACAATCAATCTTTTTCTGTTCTGCATATCTCCTCATTTCCTGCCAATATATGATGGAATGCCCTTTTGCAGTATTGAAGTACAAATAATTTTTAATCAACAATATGTACAAGATTGAGTATGAGCTTGGAGATTTTGTTTATTGTTATTTTAGTTCAATGTTGTTTTTGGTTTTATATCAATGAACTTTGTGTATATGTATTTATTATACGAAATATATATAAGTTACATGAGTATTTGCTATCGTTCACAAATATGTATAAATCTGGAATGGAAATTCATTTCTGTAATATCCATTATGTATGATTTCTATTATTCTGGGTCTCAAGCTCGTATATAGTGTAATTAATTTAAATTTAAATTAATTTGTGGATTTAAATTTTGAATGTCTGCATACCTATGTCTGCTGTGACGACATATCAACATTTCATCTAAGGAACCACATCTTGATGTTTCTATTCTAATGTGATTTGTGCATTTATTATTTGCGTGGTTATTTTCATTAATTTTTTTCTAATAATAAAAGTATTATAGTGTATTTTACATATATACTCTTGGGCGTTGATTTCTTCTGTGTCTGCATTTTCCAGCTCTCTTTGATGAAACAAATCATGTTCTTACCATTCACCCTCTCTTTGAAACGCTCTGCCAACTTTACCAATTCGGTTTAGTGCAAGAAAACACTGTGACTTCTCTGCTAGTGAATGTCGACGAGCCGTCGGCTCCCCTTTCCTCTTTGCGGACACGAGTTTAGTGCAACAAATCAAAGAAAATGCTGGGTGAATGTAGACACATGGGAAATCCTATTCCCGCCGATTGGCTTGCTTGCTCGCTCTCGCCATCCCTCCTTCGCTCGCTCACTCACGCAGTTCTTCCCTCGCTCACTCACGCAGTCACTCGCTCGCTCACTCACGCAGCATTTTCTCGTGCTTTGTTTGCAGACACGCAGGATCTCGCGGGCGAGAAGGTGAAGATATACGAACGCATGACGAGCAAAATTCTCGCGCTGGAGGCGCAATGCGCGATCGTGACGAAGCAACGCGACGACAACTCTGCCGAACTCGCCGCCTTGGTGGCCGAGCGAGACCGGCTGCAGGAACAGCAGGTGGCGCTGCTCGAGCGCGTGGAAACCGCAGAGGCACGACGCAACAGCATGCAGCGCCACCTGGACTGTGATGCCGTAGCGGCGGGAGACGAGGTAGGTGAGAGAGCTGTGGACGTTAACGTTGCCGTGGAAGCGTTGCAGACGAGCAAGGACACCCAGGGGGCGCTGGTGGAGTCCCTGCAGACGGAAATGACGACCAGGCGAGCGGATGTTGAGAGACTGGAGGCGGAGCTACGAAGCTGTGTGGAGCGACAGTCGGAACTCGAGCGAGAAACAAGTGAGCTGTCGATTGCCAAGGAATGGTTAGAGGCTGAAAACCGGGAGTTGAGACAGGAGAACGAGGCTTCTCTCCAGAAGGTGTCTCAACTCACGCAGGCAAACGAGGCTTCTCTCCAGAAAGTGTCTCAACTTACACAGGAGAATGAACCTTCTCTCCAGAAAGTGTCTCAACTCACGCAGGAGAACGAGGCTTCTCTCCAGAAAGTGTCTCAACTTACACAGGAGAATGAGGCTTCTCTCCAGAAAGTGTCTCAACTCACACAGGAGCATGAGGTTCATAAAGAAAAGGTGGCTCAACTCACACAGGAGAACGAGGCTTTTAAAGAGCAGGTGTCTCAACTCACACAGGAGAACGAGACTTCTAGCGAGAAGGTGTCTCAACTCACACAGGAGAACAAGACTTCTAAAGAGCAGGTTTCTCAACTCACACAGGAGAATGAGACTTCTAGAGAGAAGGTATCCCAACTCACACAGGAGAATGAGACTTCTAGAGAGAAGGTGTCTCAACTCACACAGGAGAACAAGACTTCTAAAGAGCAGGTGTCTCAACTCACACAGGAGAACGAGACTTCTAAAGAGCAGGTGTCTCAACTCACACAGGAGAACGAGACTTCTAAAGAGCAGGTGTCTCAACTCACACAGGAGAATGAGGCTTCTAGGGAGAAGATGTCTCAACTCACACTTGAAACTGAGACTTGTAGGGAGAAGGTGTCTCATCTAACGCAGGAGAACGAGGCAGTTAGAGAGCAGCTGTCTCGTCACGAGCGAGACGGGGAGGCAGAGATCGAGACGCGAATACGGGAGCTCGAGACCCGAGTACAAGAGACAGAGGACGCGCGGAGACGGGACAGAGTGGAGGGCGAGCAGGAGATCATGGGACTGACGGAGGAAGTTGAGAAACTGACAGAAGAGGGGGAGAGACTGCGTGCATGCGTGGCACTGGTTGAGGAGGAGAGAAAAGACTACATGGAGGAGGGGGAGAGAATGCTTGCGTGTGTAGCACGGGTGGAGGAAGAAAGAGATGGGTGCAGAGAGGAAGGAGACAGACTGCAGGCCTGTGTTGCGCGGCTGGAGGAAGAAAGGGACGAGTGCAGGGAAGAAGGAGAGAGACTGCAAGCGTGCGTGGCGCGGGCAGAGAAGGAGAGAGATGAGTGCAGGGAGAGGATGGATGTGGTGCGACGAGAGATGCAGACACAGGCACAGGCGTGGATCGATAGCGAGATGAAAGTCACCACCAAGGTACGTCGCATCTAGGATACGTTCTTGAACGTCAGAAAGTGAAGATTCTGTTAAAAGAGGTCATCATAATATCGTTTTATTGGGTGCTCTTTCATTGAAACAGATTCAGTCAGTAACTAGACACGTTTAAAATTAATAGACAGAGAGTTGGAAGAAGTTTGTTTATGAAGTGTGTGTGTAGGGAGGAGTATTACTCTTGCTTTCTCTGAACTCGCGTTCATATTGGTGTAAACGCAGGTGCAGGAGCTGCTGGCAAAACTAGGAAACGAAAGGAAGGCAAACGCTGATGCCGAAGTGCAGAAGTGCGAGATGGAGAAGAAGTTGGAAGTCCTTCGACAAGACGCGGCAGAGAAAGAAAAGCTGGAGGAAGACAACCGGCAGCTTTCGAGCGAATTAGCAGAGGCACGTTACCATCTTTTTTCTTTTTCTTTTTCTTTTTGCCTCAGTTTGGTTGTATCTTTTGGTGTCGTGTGATCGTTGCATATTTGCCTAGCCGGTGTTAAATGTGGCACTAAGCGTTGGATTTCGTGTAAACAGTCGTTAATGCATCGACAACTATTGTCGCGTACTTGTATAATTGTTTCTCTGATTGATTTTCCCAGATTAAAAATGCAGTTGAGCAGTTTCAAAGGAAGATAACCGAACTTGATGAAACAATCGAAGCAAAAGAAGCCACTCTAAGGGAGCACGTATCTACGATGACTACCCTTCAGCAACAAGTGCATGCACTGCAGAAAGCTGCTGAAGAGATGGAGGTTAAACTGAGAGAGAATGTGAGCATGGGTACAGACAGGGCTGAAGGTTTAAGCCAGAATATAACAGACCTTATGGAAGACGTTAAGGTGAAAGACTCTACTCTAAAGGAGCAGGCCTCTACCATTACTGAGTTGAAAACCGAGGTTGATGTTCTGCAGAAATGTGTTGAAGAGAAGGAGGTTATCCTGAGCGAGAAGTGCAAAGCTGCAAACACTGCTGAAGATTTAAGCAAGCAGATCGCAGACCTTATGGAAGTGGCTGATGTGAAGGCGGCAACTATAAAACAGCATGTGTCTGTAATTGCTGAGCTTAAACAGCAGGTAGAAACTCTGCAAAAAGATGTGGAAGAGAAAGAGGTCAGGATTAGAGAGAATGCGATCCTGGGAACAAACACAGCAGAAGAGCGCAAGAAAAAGAACGCAGATCTTATGGAAGAGATTAAGGTGAAAGACTCGAGTCTAAAGGAACTCGCTTCTGCCAATACTGAGCTGAAAAACCAGGTTGAAGCTTTGCACACAGATATAAAGGAGAAGGAGGTTAGCTTGAGAGAGAGCAAGACACTTATGCAAGAACAAGTTATTGCCAGGGAAGAAATCGGCAAGAAAATGGAAGTCTTGCAGATGGAAATAGATGCAAATAAAAATAGCGTAACAGGGAAAGACGAGGAAGTTCGGAAATTGCTCGCCACAAGTAACGACCTTCGTGCACAGTTAGAAATCTTGCAGAAGGAATCCGGCGAAAAGGAAGCTAGCTTGAGGGAGGCGATATCTGTGGCAGATGTTATTCAGAAGCAAGTGGAGGAGCACGAAGCTAAGCTAGTTCAGGAGAATACCGATCTACTCGTGAAAGCCTCTACAGTTGAGAAGCTTCAGTCGCAGCTGGAGTGCCTGCAGAGAGGGGCAGAGAAAAACGAGGCGACGTTGAAGGAGAAGGACGAAGCTCTACAGGAGAAGGTTTCCACGGTAGCAGAGATGCTTATGGAGAATCAACAACTAGAGGATCGACTGGCAGAGATGAAGTGTGAGCACGACAAGGTAGGTGTTACGGGCGCCGACTATAGCCATTTATTCATGACATTATTCATGAAAACGTCCCATTTCATTTGGTTTTATTGAGCTTGTTGTTACATGCGCGTTCAAACCTGTGTTAACTGATATCTGTACGGTACCTACGATACATCTGTCTATGAAGTATACTTGACATTTTCTTTGAGAGTGGCAGCTATATAGTAACATAGAATCAAGAGCGTATAAAGAAGGAGAGCGTACAATGGTGAAATGCTGAAACCATGTAACCATGTAACCATGTAACTAATACTGCAACATGATGTTGCAGTATTAGTCGAATTAAGAAACTTTGCCCGTTTTATTTTGATGATTCTTTGGTATTATTGATCAGCTGTCCTATCTTGCTAATATAAAATAAACCGCTTGTCCCTACGATGCCCCTACGCTGAGATAATGAGCGGTGAAATTCTGGTATTTTTGCCGAAAACTGACTCGAGATCCCTGTTTGCTGCGACCCTCTCGCTTTGTGGCCAGTGTGTTGCTTCCGGTCGCCGCTGTGTAGCGCCGTGGTAGCGCTGACTCATTACGTCAGTACTACAGAGTTTACTACATCCAGCGTGAGGTGGGCACAGGTGGGGGTCATCACTATGGCAATCAATAGCAGACATTCATTCCATTTGTCAATCATTGACGGAAACACGCGAGGTTTCCCGAAGTTATCTCAAAGCGAGCGACAGCTAGCTGCAGTCAGCGGGTATCTTGAGTCGGTTTTCGGCGAAAATACCAGATTTTCACCACTCATTATCTCAGCGTAGGGACATGCGGTTTGTTTTATATTAACAAGGTAGGACAGCTGATCAATAATACTGCAAAGAATCGTCAAAATATAACAGGGAAAGTTTATTAATTCGACTAAGGCGAGAATTTTTTATTTTGTTGGTTTACAGATCCGCCAACCCCAATTTTCAAGAAAAACGAAAAAAAATAAAAATTGAAAATCTGTATTTTTTTTATTCCCGCCGACCTTTTCTCTAAGAAATATGAATAAAAAAAATTTAAATGTAAAAAACAAAAACATTTCATAAACAAATAGTTTATAATAAAAGTAAAAATAATTACAAGTTGAGTTTTGTTTTCATTTAGTTTTCTTAAAATACTTTAATATCATGTATAACAGTATCACTGTATTTTGACTTGTTTGATCTGACAAAACAACATTTTTTTTTTTACCCTACCGAGTCAACAACAACAACAAAAATTCTGTAAACCAACAAAATAAAAAATGGTGGCCTAATACTGCAACATGGTTTCAGCATTTCACCGTTGTACGCTCTTGATAGAATCAACACCTATCATTAAAGACACCTGGCATTTTCCTTCAGTGACATTAATATACATATTTGACTACCCTTTGCATAGTTCAAGCGAACATAACACACGGGGCAACTATATTTTGGTGTAACTGTAAGCTGGGTAGCAACAGGTGGTTGCTGTTGCGTCGTGTAGAACGCTCGCTGCTATGCGTAACAGGCCCGTTGCACCGTGGAGGAACTCGAGAGCACGACGGCAACGCTCGAGCGATCGCAGAACAGACTGACGGAGGAGATCGGAGGTCTACGCACGGAGATCGAGGGCAAGAAGGCGGATGTGTCGGGCTTGCAGACGCTCGCGGTCGAGCAAGAGCAGACGATGGAAATGCAGGAGAAGGCGATCAACGATAAAGCCGCCGACATTAAGAGGCTACTCGATGGTACTTATTATCGATGTTGCTTTCCTCTTACAGTGCGGCGGCGTCTACGAAGCTTATCTAACTGCATGAAGTAAATGACAGGCAGATTTAAACAATTGATCAGCATTGCGATACGGGCGTTCTAATGACAATATTTAGTAGCGACAGTGGCCCCAATTCAACATGTTGGCATGCAGCATGTACAAACGAATTTAGCGTGAGCAGCCTAGCCACAGTATCCGATGGGATGTGTTTATCTGGCTCAGGGGGGGGGGGTGTCTCAATCGCAGCGTGTGAAGTTTTTGCTACATGCATTACATTTTAGTTAGAGTGACATCCAGTAGCGTTTCGTAGCGAGTATTTTTTGAGTGTCTTTAAAAAAAATTGCAACTATAAAGCTTTTTTTGCACGTGCTAAACTTCAGAGCTGGGCAGCGTGACTGAGAAGTATGAGCAGCTGCAGAAGAGGCAGACGGGCCGGGAAGCTGCTGCCAGCAAGTCGTGTCAGCTATGCCGTGAACTGCAGGTGGCCCTAGACGACAACAACAAGGAACTGTCTGAGCTGGAGCATCTGTATTCAGGTACCGTAAACTATTGAGTCCGTACTGTAGAGTTACGGATTAACATGCATGCTCGAGTTTAGCCATGAAGTTTCAGGGCATCAGAGTAGAACAAGGAACTGTCTGAGCTGGAGCATCTGTATTCAGGTACTGTAAACTATCGAGTCCGTACTGTAGAGCTACGAATCAACATGCATGCTAGAGTTTAGCCACGAAGTCTCAGGGCATCAGAGAGTAGAACAAGGAACTGTCTGTCAGAGCTGGAGCATCTGTACTATTCAGGTACTGTACAGCATCGAGTATGTACTGTAGAGCTACGGATCAACATGCATGCTCGAGTTTAGCCACGAAGTCTCAGGGCATCAGAGTATAGAACAATGTTAGACTTGGTCACCTGCCCGGGGACAGAACTGCTTGTGTTGTCCAGCATAGTGGATTTACAGATGCCTAATTAATTGGAGGTTGTATTGCGTAGTGATAAATAATGAATAAATTTTCCTGACCAACTAAATGCACGAAGATAAAGCACCCGGAAGACTATCTTCATCTGCCCATTTCTCGTTGCTACTTTTTTGCATAACCTGTTGGTAAAATTTGACATGTTGGAACAAGAGGCTTGCGTCAGCACTGCAGGGGGTGATTCCATTGAGTTAGCTTCCAGGACTTGGGTGAAAAATAGTTGACATCCTCTTAGCCTTGAACTAATTTAATTGTCATTAACTCGTCATGTTGATTAGTCTCTATTATGTCTCTGTTATTATAGTCCCGTTAGGTTCTTTCACCTTTTGTCTCAACTTTCGTTTCAAATGACTTATTTAATTTGGTAATTAATTTGTTTAGTTTAGTTAATTCATAATTCACAAGTATTATTAATTAAACTCGTTTGCTCTGTACGCTTGCAGTGAGCAAGAAGGAGCTTGGGGAACTGCAGGAGAGGAGGGAGAGTGACGCAGCAGAGAAGCTGAGCGGTCTAAGCGAGGAGTTGGCGGGGAAGGAGAAGGAGCTGGAGGCACTGAGCAGAGAGCTGCGCACCAAGCAACGGCAAATAGAGAAGCTGAGGGAAGACTTGGATAAGTTGCGCTCGCAGGCGGGGGAGAAGGAGGCAGAGCGTGATGCCACGCTACAGGTGAGTGAATCTATCCAGCACCGCTCGAATGTCACTACGGCACCGATGGCAGCTGCCGCAATGTTGCCCTTCCTTATTTGCTGTGGTGCCATGGGGAATTACCTGATATCCATGACAAGTATAACCACCGTGCTTTGCTTCTGTGACTTTCCCATGAATCCTATGTAGTGTACGCAGCCCTCTTTGTCCCACGTAAACAGTGATATTAAAAGGCAGGTGGCAGTAATAACCCTTGAAGTAAATGATTTGCCATTTTGCCCTGAAATTTCTGGTTAAGTCGAAGGCAACACTCGCTTTGCAGTTAAAAAATACCATGCTGAGATTTCGATTGCAATTTGGTTGAACTGCTTTTAAATGCACAGTGAGTGTTACCACATGTTACACGAATGTTTCTCTCTTTATGTCGCTGCCTGCAGAAGTGGAAGGAGGAGAGGAACGAACTGGTAGGTAAACTGGAGACGGTGTTGAAGACGCAGCAGGCAGAGCTGAGGGAGCTGAGAGCAAGGCAGAAGGAGACCGAGGACAATGCGCAGCAAGACAATGCGCAGCAAGACAATGCGCAGCAGGAGAAGCCGGAAGTGGTGGAAGCTACGGTAAGCAGAGCGTTACTGCCGAGATCGATGGAGGCAGAGGAAATAGTAGGTAGGGGTTAGGTGAGAAGGAAGAGACGGAGCTGGGAGAAAGAAAGGGGAAGGAGGAGGTGGATGAGGAGAAGAAGAATGAGAAGGCATAACAGGTTTTATAGCTGAGAGCACTGCAGTCAGTGCAATGAGGAAATGGTGGGATGATAACGAGGAGTAGGAGGGAGAGCAAAGGGTGTGAGGAGGAGAGGGGCGTAAGAGCAGTGTTATAGGGGAGCTGAATAATGGCGCACTAGGAGGATTTACTAAGATGAAGAATGAAAGTACACCTTTCGTTCTTCCTTGTGTGTAATATCTTTGCATGTGGGAGACCGGCAAAGTCAATTCTAGCATACATTAATAGTACCGACATTCACAGCCATTTTTTGACTAATTTACACAAGAATGCGTCAGACACTTACCATTATACCTTAATATTATCAGTCTAAACTTGCCAATCATGATTTTGAATTAATGAGCAATAGACTTCGAACTTAGCTCACACTTGTGTGGCAATAAACCACTATTTGCATTTCTACTATGCACGCTCCGTAACCCGGGTTTTGTAGCCGGATCATACGTAGATCACGGCTACTAAATAAATGCACGCATGCCATGCTGCAATTAACACCGGATAGCCGAGTGTTTACACTGAAAGCGTGTTTTTGTCTTTTGCTAAAAATTTAAACATGAACCACCACGTCACTGTCGGATCTTGTACTTGTAGGAACAGCCGAGTGAGGATAATAATATTGAAGAGAAGGAAGAGGATCGGTTAGAGATAGACGTAACACCTGTGCAGGCCCAGCGGCCCCGCAAGCAACGCACGCGGAAAAAGAGAAAGTCCGAGGAAATAGATCCGGTGAGGAATTCCTGAATAGCAGTTAAATCGGCACAGGAGCTAGCTGTTGCTCTCGCACTAGCGAGGCCATCGATACATCTATACACAGCATTTAGATGTGGTCATGATGATAGCAGCCATCGGCCGTTGTGCGAGTTGTTGTAATTATGCCACCATGTTATGTGGCTGTTATAAAGAAGTACACCAGGTAGGATGTAATGGAACAAATTACATCTATAGCACTGCGAATCTGGTTTCTTCTCGGTTGTACATGTTGTATCACGCTGCGTGTCGTTCGTGAGCGTCACGTTTTTATCCTTATTGACTTATTCTGCCACACTATATAGCTGCTAGCACGTCAAGAGCACATTAACATTACATAAAAGGTAAGGAATAAAACAAAAACAAAACAAAAAAAGGAAATATGCGCAAAAAAACGAAAGGAAAAAATAAGAAGAGCAGATAATTGAATTATGGAACAAAAAATGGTTTATGTGCTTCTAATCCCATAGCGTGCTTATGACAGTACGCAACACGTAAACGCTAATGGACGAAAGATTAGAGTATATATTTAGTTTGCCGATTGAGATAGTAGCTAGGTGATCGCATATAACATTGCTTCTGTTGTTTGTGTTGCATCATTGGTAGGATTTCAGTGGCGTTCGTAGATCTACTAGGAGTAGACGAACAACGAGACAATCGACCAGAGCCTCATCTTCTCCTACGACCACTACTGCTGCTGATGATGATCACATACAAAACGAGGTTTGTGTATGTAACTACAGTCATTTATAGAACTGCCTACGTGAGATTGTGGCACGCTTATGCATCTGTAACACTTATCCAAGATACATAGTTGAACAGGAGGCCTCCGTGTAGGCTCGACAGGGTCTTTACGAAAATGACTTACACAAGTTGTCGTAATCGGTTGTATATTACCCTGTTTGATTCTCGTGGAAAAGGAACCATATATGCAAATTAATATTAAAACTTTGTGGAAACATTGTACAGTGTTCACTATTCCAGCACGTCTGCGATTTCTACTTTGATACAGGTGGAAAATACAACAACAGACAGTAGCAACGTGTTTGAAGTGGAGAGCTCAGCTGCTTCTACCACTCGGTCAAGCAAGCGGAGGCGCAAACCCCTGTCTAAGATCGCCGAAATATTGCACAACAGTCCTGTGAACAAGACAGGTCTGTACATATTGCATTGCCAAGCTGAGTTTTCAAGATTCATTTGCTGTTTGATATCATACAAAAAACGTTGAACCTGAATAATTCACACATCTAATGATCTGGTGTGTGTTCTGTTTAATTGGTTTTTGAATGCTAGAGAATGTCTGAAATTCTTCCCATTTCTTTTGTAATGGAATTTCCGTTTAAATGAATACGTGCTTGTATGCACGAAATCGTTGTTAGGTGATTAAATTCATGATTCCTGTGTGTTTATGATCGTTAGATTTGAGGTATAACAGTGTTGATGCTAGTATTGTTCTGAAATGTATGCTATTATGAGGCTGTTAACTCCGATTGTATACTGTAACAGTAGTTTTCTACTAACCAACCCTAGTTTATATTAACAAATGTATTAGTACTATTGTGCTATATTGCATGGCTAGAAGAAAGTGATAGCTAGTGCATAATCATTTCATTTGTTATATGAGTTATATCGTACAGTAACATGCATAAAAAATGGTATTAAAAGATCCTATCATAGGGTAATGTGAACTTAGACAACTATAAGCATACTAAGTTTCATGATTCTAATAATAGTAAGCATCAAACTAGTGTAAGATATCTGATTTCACTCTAGGTCTGTATCTATGCGTGCGTGCGCGTGCGTGTGTGCGCGTGTGCGTGTGCGCATGCTTGCCTGCATGCTTGCAAGTGTATGCATAGCGTTTTAAATTGACTGTTATATAATATAGTTATAGCGTTTTTGTACTAACGTGATATTTTGTATACTCACAAAATTTTTGCTTGGCTAATGCATGTTTAACTTTTTTATTAATTGCACCAATAGCTAGGAAAGTAATGGATTTTGCCCACAACTTAATTTCACCAGAGAAAGACAAAGGGAAGGAATTTGCTTCGCCTGAGCTTCCTTCTCAGACGACTGTAGGCAAGAAGAAAAGGAAACTCTACAATGCATCATCATCCACTCCACTGGAAATGTCCCCCATGGTAGGCTATTGTGAATCATTTACATATTAATTTACATAATAATCGTCAGAATACCTACACCACATCCTTATATAATTACAGCTTTGCTCATGTTTCCTCAAGTTATTATCTCAGGGGAATAATATTGCTAATCAAAAATAACTCATGATATAAATAATTCACATTTAAATAATGGATAATTAAACTAGCTTTATTCACATGTAATGACAAATAATAAGATGTTAGATATTTTGACTGATACCGCACCTACACAGTGTCATAGATTTGCTTATTACAGGTTGCATTGCAATCGTTACAGAGCTTTATTTTCACACAATTACCTAACATCTGTGTTTCTGCCAGTAAGAAGTAGCTCGTGGTAATTAACAGAGTTAATCAACCCCGGAAACATTAATTCGATGTTATCTTCAGGTGTTTCTTGACCAGCCAGAAAAAACTGATGCTCACCAGATTTTGAAGCAGCGCCTGAGAACGAGAAAAAGGTAGTCTACACATCCACGCCAGAGTTTGCAATGAAAGAAGTCCACTATTGCGTAATTGTGTGCGTGCGTGCGTGCATGCATGTGAGTGACACACCTTCATCAGTGTGTGGTAGTTTTTCTTTGTAAATGTAAGCACCGCGGCTTTGTGGGTATTTGATACAGCGCAAAAGCAATGCCTGATGTGGCAGATGTGATTTCGCCGTGCTAGGACACCTGTAGGAGAACTTGTTTAGTGACTAGCTATATTTTTTCTTTAGAAAACTGTCTATAGAATTATGTATGACACTTTTAGACTAGTGTGTCTATAGGTTTAGAAGAGCTAATGTAAAGGCTAATATATCATATGTACAGTTGGGTGTGAATGAGAGGGAGCAAAAAGGAAGAGGGAGTAACTTAACCCTAACTATGGCATCTTACGATCTAATTCACGTGTGTGATACAATGTATTATTACAGTAATAAAAGTGAAGTGATGTAATTGAAGAAATGAAAGAGTGGCTATAGGAAGCATATGCTAATGTAATTATGTAACCACCAGGGGTGGCAACCGGAGGTACACCCACGCTCCGATCAGGGTAAAAATCAGTAACTCGATGGGTAATCTATAACAAAACATTGCAACTGCTCTTCACCTGTAGTGCTGCGCTAGTCGAAGGAACTTGTGAAAACAATCAGCAGACGAAGGGCTGATTTATCCCTACACACGATATATTACAAGAGTATAGAGATAGATATACAAGTTATAGATATAGCAATAACTTCCTTCTAAAATGCTAAAGATGCGGTTTTAAGCACTGAAATTTGCAGGAAAAATCGTATCCCCTAGGTTTTGATAGCTTTTGCCCCCTACTCGCAATATGAATTTAAACCCCCGCTGGTGAAGGCCCTTAGCCATCCCCCTACCCCCTTCCCGGCGGGAACCCCCCCTCCCCCCGCCGTTAGTTATCTTGGCACCTCGTCAGGGACCTTGAACCCCTCCACCATTGTCAAGCAATCTCTGAAGCTACCCTTGACCATGAAACAAAACATCGAGTTTAATTATAAGGGGTTGGGTTTGATAGAAGTATGTTACTAGTAACCCCCAATCAACATACAATGAAGCTATACGGTAAATATGTGGTGTCATGGGTTTTTCCTGTATTATGCATGTCATATTATATAAAAAATGGCATCATAAAGAATCTAAACTATATAATACGTTTGTATAATTTCTTTTACTTTTGTTTTATATATATACAATTGTATTCCTTGTTGAATATATACTCACAGCTGTGCACTTGAGTATTTTTGTGTGGGACGATTTGCATGTATACCTGCAATTTCTGTAACAATAAAAACGTACACGAAGAATGAATATAGATGTATATGTAAGTATAGTAGTTGAAATATTTATTTGGTAAACAGCATGTGTAGTATTTACAGTAACTCAGTAACACGAGACCAAGTACGCCACGCTAGTGTTCATGCATGTCGTTAAACGTTACACAGGTACCGCCTGCTACGTGCTACAGGATAATGCTAACAGAATTAGGATCTATATATGTCACAGGTTTCGTCTGCTAAGAACCTGCTGCATTCTAAACGGCACGACGTTAACATCGAATATACAAATAAATAATAGAAATGCTCTCCGGCGTTTGCGAGTGCACATACATGCCACGATTCTTAGTCGACCGTCGAACACCTACATCTGCTACTACAACGCCGGCCCGTCAGCAACCTCAACAACCATTGCATTGTTGCAAATCAAACTGCATTTTCTATTTTTCTCAAAAACGCGTGCGCTGATCAGCCGCCTAGTTGCACCCCGTGCCACACACCGAATGAAAACACGTACCGGTAGCCGAGTATCTCCATTGTAAGCCAGTTCACTACACGTCACCAGAATAACATTATTTGCTCTAGTTCGTAAACAGCGGAGGATGGCAAGCATGAATTCTAATACAAGCTAATTAATGAAAGCAAATAGAAATGAAACTAATGTATCACAGTAACATTAATGCCATGCATGGCTACCATTATTGTAAAGTAGCAAGCAAACATGCGGACCGACTCAATGCCAACAGAATGCTAAGCTACCAACAGAAGCCAGTGCAGTTAGCAACGCTCATAGGGTCTATGTCCCCCAGGGTACTGCCGGGACGTACCCTGGGTACGGCCTAACTCCCTAGACTCGTTATTGGAGTACGCGCACTGATATCTATAATAATATTATGATTATTATCATAATAATATTATGATTATTATAAAGTTATTATAGAGATAAGTGAGTACGCGAGTTACGGTCCGGCATATTAGATAGTACTAGGGTACGTTCCGGCAGAACCCTGGGGGACATAGACCCTCTCAGCGTTAGCAACACGTGCTAGCATCACTGGTGTTGGTAAATTAACACCACGTAGGATAAGTGTCGGTTAGCACGTAGCAATACACGTAACACTGCTGCTAATGCAGGTAACGTTGATAGAAACAACTACGGTTGGCAACACGTTACATAATGATTGGCAACAACTAGCACTATGTATCAAGCCCAAATCAAAATAATTTTTTTAATCTTTACAACACTGAACATAACTGCACGTGCCTTTTGCACAAAACAGTTAAACACTGCACCCCACAAAGTTCTACGTGCTAGCAAGCCAGGCAACCATACAGCTAAAACACCTACCAGCATCCAGAGATGTTAGGGTTCATGCGTAGCAAGCAGGCAGGTGGTGTTACAAGTGTAATATAATCAGGAGTAAGATAATCCTAGATTATCCTATATTATCTTACTCCTGATATAATATACACTACTTAACAGGTGACACGACAGAGAACGAAGCTGGTAGACGGATATGGGTTATTGATAATACCAGGAGTGTCATAATATAGACAATGACATAATAATACATATACAGGATATTTAACATATATACATTAATATGACATAAGCTATATTACGACACTACTTATAATACTACATGTACAGGCGCTATATAATAATTTATGGTATCAAGCGCAGCTCAAGCTGAGCGCAGTTTTGCCATTTACAACTGCTTCTACACATTACCATTCAAAACATCCACACAACTATGTCCTATAACTTGACCTGGCATGCAGTATAAGTAATGTCTTACGAAACAAACAGTGAATACCAATCAATGGATTACTATACCAATACGATACTACTCAATCGATCGATTTAGGAGTGAAAAACAACATTGTTTTTTTTCAGAGAGAATCGATATTACATCTTGTAACACATTGTAGGCTTGCTACTTCACTCATCATATACAAACGACCGGGTGGCGTGTACGAACAACTGCATTTCCATTATTAAAAACCGTTTTTGGCCCGTTTACGTCTAATTATCGCAAAACCCCGGCATTTCCTGTCACCTTCTCTCACGCCATCAACGCCCGCCCGCGTCTACCTGCGCATATTTATGTTCGCACACGTCACCGAGATGCCATAACGAACGGCCTCCACGCTTTTATATATAGACTCGTGGGCGTTTCTAGTTACTGGCACAAGACGCTGCCACTGTGTGTTTTCTAACCGCGTACCTATGCATATATAATAGATTGGCTCCACTCGCTGTGGACACGGCCACTGTTAGTCTGAAAACACTATTGAAGTGAGCGAACTGAAATCCGTATGCAAAGAGGGAGAGAAAGATGCAAGGCTGCAAAGCCGTTTCCATGCGTAAACACATTGCACGACGCTAGAGAGAGAGAGACACGCCTTCTAAGTCACGATTAACACTGGTCGCATAATGGGCCCGCGAAGTGATGCATGATTTTTTTCTAATATGCGAACCACTTATAATCCTTACACTGCTTGCATGTGAAGAAAAACCCGTTGGAATGCTGTAGTGCTACGGCATGAATAGGGACGCTGCGACCTAGCGTTTATATCCGACAATGAATCGCAACAGCACGCACGCACGCACGCACGCACGCACGCACGCACGCACGTGCGTATTATACAAAGGAAAATCCTAAGTTCCAGTTGATCAACTGAAATAGTGTCCATTAGCGTCTAAGTAACATTAATGAAATTAGTTGTTTCGTTGGGACTACGTGACCATGCAAGATATCTCTGCATATCGCAAACACAAACACTCAGCAGCTGTATAGTTAGTAACAACAGCAAGATTACTAAACAACATTGCAGTATTCACGACAGTAGCAGGTGTTTGAGTAAAAACAGTTGATGTAGTATATCAGACAAATCACTAGCATAGCAGTATTAGTAGTAGTTAACAGCAGTAACAGCAGAATTAGTAGCAGTAACAACAGTATCACCAGCAGTAGCGACTTCGCACTAGTAGCAGCAACAACATTATCATTAGGATGATTTCATAATGATTATTGATAGTAGAAGCTGCAATAGTAGCAATAGAAATAATAGTAGAAGTAGCGGTGTCAATGGTAGTAATGGTAGTGTTAACCGTAACGGTAGTGGAAGTAGTAGTAGTAGTGTATGGGCTTTTACACACGTTGAAACAATTCACCATCAACCTTATAAGACAGTCAGTTATAAACGTACATTATATGAGAAAGAAGTTCAATTATTACAAATAAAGTCTGTTAGAAAAGCCACGCGGATACGTTAATGTCGCGTGAACTGAGCACGGTAAGTTACACAATGTACAATCAAACTACTTAGAAACAACGAAAAACCGAGATTCAAACGCTCCTCTCTGGGTTTTCAGGTCACGACATGATATTAGTAATAACCACCAGGCAGTGGTTGCTATATCGACATCCTGTACAGTCTGAACATTAATTAGCATAATAATAATAAAGTGTACTTCACTGGTCATTCTATCTGCACACAAACACACGGTGCATGCTCAATACCGACCGCTGCTGCTGCTGCTGTCAGCGGTAACCATGTAATGATTAGTGCAGTCAATTCTCTGCCCTTGAAGGTCAGTTCTCTATCATTGACAGTTAGTTCTCTGTCTAAGCGATGGCACGCACGCGCGCACGTACCAGACGCGAGCGCGTACGGACGCACGCACGAACGCATGCACGCCTGCACTCACTCACTTACGCACGCACTCACTCACTCACGCACGCACTCACGCACGCACGCACGCACGCACGCCCGCACGCACGCACGTCATCTGCTCGTGACGACCGATGTTCTGTCACCGAGTTCCTCCGCTGTATCCCAGACCTGGACGCCTGGAGAGGTGAGACTTGATAGCAGGCAAGGGAGGCAGGCGAGCGACGGAGGGAGGGAGGGAGGGAATCAGCACTGCGATTCGTCGACCTCCTCAAGTCCGTTGAAGAGGTCCTTCTGCAGCGTGCTGATGTCGCGGCTCTCCAGCTCCAGCGTCAGCTGCTCGACCTCGTGCTCCAGGCTGCGATTCTTGCGGAAGATCTGCACGTAGTTGAGCTGCAGCTGCTTCTGGTAGCGCAGCACCTTCTCCTTCTCCTCCGACCACACCTGCCGCTCCTCCTCAAAGCGCGCGCGCTGCGTGTCCGCCTCGCAGCGCCCCCTATCGGCCTCGATGCGCATGTGGTCGATCTCCTTGCGCAGCGCGGCGATGGCGGCGTCGCTGCGCTGCCGGTCGAGCGTCGTGTCGCTGCGCGCCGTCTGTGAGTCGCGGCGCACGATGTCGAGCTGCGCGCGTGCGTCGTGCAGCTCGCCGTGCGCCGCGTCGTGCGCCGCCTGCAGCGCCGCCTGCTCGCGCTGCACGTCGGCGAGGCGGGCGCGTGCGTCGCGCAGCTGCGTGCGCAGCGTGAGCGCCTCCGTCTTGCGCGAGCACGTGTCCGTGTTCGTCTCCTTCAGCTGCGACTTGAGCAGCCCGATCTCGCCGCTCTTCTGGCACATCGCCCACTTCGTCTCGTCGAGGTGCGAGCGCAGTGCAGTCAGCTCCTGCTCATACTCGCAGCAGCGCGTCTGCAGCGTCTCGCGTTCCTCGCAGGCGCGCTCCAGCCCCGCGCGCGCCTCGCGCCGCTCCTGCTGCAGCTGGTAGATCTGCAGCAGCAGGCCCTGCTCGACCTTGAACGACTTCTGCTGCGCGCCGGTGACCTTCTCGTCGTACTCGTCGCGCAGATGCTGCAGCTCGCACTGCCACGCGTGCTCCTTCTCCTCGTAGACGCGGAATATCACCTGAAACAGCAGCCGCAGCGCACGTGTTAGTCACGGAGCGAGATAGAAAATGTCATTTTGTGGCCTTCTCCTGAAGCATATAGTGGCATGTAGTAGGCTGCATTCATGAGGCGTAGGACTACCGCAACCGTGCTGCTCTTGTTTTTGTAACTTCACATGTCAAACCTACTCACTTTTGTTATGCGGGTTAGGATAGAAAGTATAAAACTGCATTCTATTTGATGCAACAGACCGTACGAATGTAAAACGTGAAAAACATCTGAGAAATTCAGTTAAAATTAAGTGAGATAATGTGTTTGGTTATGATAATAATAATAATTATTATTATAATCATAAATTGGGTAATAGTTTGGATAATGGATATCAACATTTTCAATTTCTATGCCACTGTCATTCTTAATGAATTCAAGTAACTTAAGACACGATGATTTCTTTTCATGATATTCATATTCAGCATATGTTCAATAACTTGAACTTATAATGATTATATATGCTACATAAACTGACCAGTACAACGACTTAGAATGGTCCTATTAACATATCATTAGTCACGGCCTGGTAATTCTTGATTTATCGATTAGATAACCATGGCAAAGCGATATTATTTAATCCAGTTTAGCACAATGGGACCTTTTCTCCTTAGAATGTCCGGTTATCACGTAAACTAGTAAACGACCCCACGAACAATGCCGAAGTTGCTATCGGCGTGTATGCGATGTATGATACACATCTGCTGCCATTGTGTAAGAGCTGACGGTAGGTAAGTTCTGGCATGGAGCGCGGAAGGCAGAGAACAGGTCCTGCGATCACCAGATAGCGAGTAATCGTGTATGCAATCATCAGGTTTAGAACAGAGCATGGGCGTCTACACCTCCAAGCCAGCCTGCATCATGAGTCAGTAGCGTCTGTCGGCTATAGTTGCCATTCACTACCTCACGGTTTCACTGCCAGGTGAAATCACGTGGAACACTCGTTATATTTACCTGTATTTTACAAGGATATTGTGTAACGATAGTGCGATTTTAACCTCGAGAGCCAAGCGCAACGTTAATAGTTTCATATAGGCCTAAGCATGCATTCCTTATCTCAGGTGCATTCGTAACCACAGCACAAATGGCTGCCCAGATGCTGTGCATATATACGTTATCCCTAATAGGTTAAGTTTAAGAAGCCACGTAGCTTCTCTTACACTTTATTGTATGTCCTGAAAGTCCGTATGTTGTGTGTGCTTAAAATTGCGTTGTGCTTGTCGCTAGCGCATAAACATAAGGAACCTCACCTGTTCATTCTGTTCCATTGTCGTTCTCAAATGATTTAGCTCGGTATCTTTGTCCTTGAGCATGACCTCAAGTTCACTCACTCCCGAATCGCTGCATGCCGGAGTCTGTGGGTAGTCTGCTAGGTGGGACAACCTACAAACGTGCATACGTGGACGCAGTCAGAAACACACGACGATACTAAGACAAGAAAGAGAGGCGTGAATCCTGATAAGAGAGAATCATTCTATCAAAAGTTCAACGTAGTTGATGAGCTCTTGATTCTACACCATTAGACAGTGAGAATGGGGGAGAGCAAACGAGAGAGAGAGAGAGAGAGAGAGAGAGAGAGAGAGAGAGAGAGAGAGAGAGAGAGAGAAGGGGAAGGGAGGCATAGATAGCGTATAGTTATAGAGAGAGAGAGAGGGAGAGAGAGAGAGAGAGAGAGAGAGAGAGAGAGAGAGAGAGAGAGAGAGAGAGAGACAGAAGGGGGCATATCAGAAA